GGTGATGTACATACTCATGAACTGAGCCAAGGTCTCCTGAAGAGATGGAGTAGTAGTGGCAGTAGTAGGTGTGCCAGGTGCCTGGGCTCCGGCTGGATCTGCTGATGGTGCCTCGGCGGCAGCTCGCGCAGGTGCTCTGGCTGCACCACATGCGCGTCCTCGACCTATACCCCGGCCCCGGCCTCTGACGGCTGCAGTAGGGGGCGCGGGTGCCTGACCATCCCGAGTAGCGCGTGTCCCCACCATCTGTGAGGGAATAGAAGACAAAAGTTTAGAATTTGTGGTGTCAAATCACCGCACGACAAGGAAATCAATGAAGTGGAAATTTTCCTAACAGTTACATAACCTCTCGTAGATAAGTACAGACGTCTCCGTACCGATCAGCGAGACTTTAATAAACCGTCCTGTGTCCCGTGACTCCTATGAACCTAGAGCTCTGATACCAACTTGTCACGACCCCAGTTCGCCCTCCGTGAACATGTCGTGATGGCACCTAGTTCCTATAACTAGGTAAGCCTAACAATGCGGAAAAACAACATAGCTTGCGGAATGATTAATTAAACTGAATAACTAAAAGAAAACTGTATATAAATGCCGCTCGGCATATACAACTCAAAATGCGGAAGTCTACAATAACACCCCAAACCCGGAAACTCACGGGAACACAAGCTAACGAAAAACAATATACGGCTCTAATCTCCAGAATGTCTAGAACAAAAGTACGAAGGAAGGCTAAATGCTACAGATAGAGTAAGAAGGAGACTCCTTGGTCTGCAGACGCTGCAGAAGTAGCGCAAAGTCTCCGTAGCTGTCCCTGCCTCAAGGATGGTGCGCCTGAGAAGAAGTACCTGGGTCTACACATGAAAAACATGCGCAGAAGAGGCATGAGTACACCACAGCGGTACTCAGTAAGTACCAAGCCTAACCTCGGTTGGGTAGTGACGAGGAAGGCCAGGGCCCTACTGAGATATAACATAATAAATGACAAGATGAGGAAAAACAGTATAAATAAAGTCTACAGCAAGAATCTAAACAGGATAAAACTACGGGAAACCGTAAATAGAAAAGCAAGAAAAACAGGACAAATAACCGGTAAATACTACTCACGACAGGAAACA